TTACGTTCGTCGAAGTTAGGTACTAGCGTAAGAGTACCTCGGAAGATTGAACTAACGTAGACGTGNGGAAAAATAGAGGATTTGAGGATCAAGTTGATAGCTTATGGCAATAAGCTTGCATAGCAAAGCGACCCACAGCGCGCCGTGACATGGGGCGCCGAGGTTCGTTATTTTGTCGAGCTGGCGGAGAAGCTCCTGGAGGCGAAAAGGCAAATTGTGAGGTCTTGCTACTGTAGGTTGGGGGATTGTGGGCTTCGAGACAGGATTTTTGATTGTACGGGAAGATCCTCAAGGGGCCGTGAGAAGGCGCGCCGGGGTTCAAGATTCTGTCGAGTTGGCGGAGAAGCTCCTGGAAGGCGGAAACTTTTGGCGTGAAATCTTTCGGCAAATGTTGAGTGTCATCAATATCTCAAAAAGAAGGCTGCACAGCAAAGCGACCCAAAGCGCGCCGTGACAAGGGGCGCCGGGATTCGTTATCATTTCGAGTTGGCGGAGAAGCTCCGGGAAGGCGTTAAACAGAGGCGTGAGCATTTCCAGAGCATTTTGAGGATCACCGATTCCTTCGGAAAGAAGGTTGCATAGCAAAGCGACCCAAAGCGCGCCGTGACAAGGGGCGCCGGGGTTCGTTATCCTGTCGGGTTGGAGGAGAAGCAAGAACTGAGAAGGCAAGAACTAGAGGCGTGAAGAAGATATCGACGTTGCAAGTTTGAAAATCTGTACCAAAGGGATGTTGCGGAGCAACTCAAAAAGCGCTGTGTGGCAGGGCCGGCGGGGTGATACTCTTGTCTAACTTGCGGAAAAGCTTCCGGAGGCGAAAAGTAACTGGAAGTGACGTGAGGCTGCTTTTTAAGATCTTAGGAAATAGCGCCGTACCATGTACGCTCACAAACTGCCACAAAAGGTGCTGAAAAAGGGGTAACATGTATGAGATGCTCAACAGACACGCAAAATGGCAGAACGATCCCCTAGCAACCTTCGCAAGAAGTAAACCCGCAAGGGACGTCACTGCCCGCACACCCCAATAGACTAGGTGTACTGACTCGACAGACACAGTGTAAGTAGCCAAAAAGGAAACGGGTAGATACCCACCCACCCCGCCAGACTAGGTGTGAGCATCCGAGAACATCTGCACGAAAGAGTAAACCGCTACAAAAACAGGGTGGCTATCATTACCCAGTACCTCAACAAGTGAGAACAACCAAGGCAGTGGTTCCCGCATAACAAGAAACCCTGAAACCTAATACCTTAAAACCCTAAAACCCTAACACTTTAAACAGCAGTATGATCGCCCACCAGCAGAAGCTCCCCTCGTTCCGGCGCTTCGGTTCTAGGCACGTTCTTTTCCGCCAGGTATTCCGCTTGTAGCGGAAGCAGAATCTCGAGGAGGCCGGTTCGCCAGAGCAGCGCCAGCGAGCGTTCCGCGGAGCCGTAGCTGAGCATGACGTTAAGCTCTAGGAGCAAACGAGACTGCAGAGAATAGAGAATCAAACAGGATATTAATCTTTAGGGGCGGCTATGAAAGAAAGGGTGTCAAAGAGCGGGTTTTATTGTGATCACGCAATTCGATGATGGTGAGATTTATGGGCTCTTTGTGGGTCAGGCTGCGAACGGGTTTGAGACGAAAGAAAGGGGAGCAAATCACTGAAATGTTACTAAGGTTTTGCTAGAAAAATCATCACAAATGCAGAATGAAGGCCGGGCGCTGCAATTTATCGGATGACATGAACGAAAGGGACCATCAGTGACTCCGTAATGGCGTCTTGGTGAAACGTCATGGTGACGTGCGCCCTCACCTTGCCAAGCGAGAGCACGGCCGCCCGGCCCACACTGGCGACGGCCCGCTCTAGTTCCCCGGTCAGGTGGAAGCCCGTGCGCGCCGCGATCCGGATCGCCCGTAACACACGCGCTGTGGTAAAGAACATGGGGATGACGTCAGCGAGGCACGGGACGAAACGTCAGCTTGTCAGGAAGGTGTACCTTTTCAAGACACATAATTGCCCTTGCGAGCTTTGATAGCTTTCAACGATGGCGCCTAGAGACGATTTGAAAAAAAACAACAACAATGAAAGCAGATCAATATGCCCTGCCGTGACCGTACCTGTTGGGCTTTCGCCCGATGACGTGAAACAAACCTTCGAAGAGACTGAAGCGGCAGAGTGACGTAAACGGCTGAACCACCAGAACAATCTGTCGATGCTGTAATGTTTCATCGAATTGAATCCACGATTCATTACGTACCTAAAAACGTTGTCTCAAACATTCGACACGGACCCATCATCATTCAGACAGAGGAGATCACGATACTTCGAGAATGTGGAGACAGCACACCTTGGATCCAACAGAAAGATACTCAGGTCAGTCTGCACTCATATTCGCTTTTTTTCTTTACTTATGAAACACAGCTTATAAGTTTTGGCTTACGCCGTTGTAATCTTTGCTCGATAACGGCGGGGGCAAAAAGCACACTGGATGCCTTGAAATATTCGCACCTGGGTCCTCCTGAAACGACTCTTCCGCATCAATAATCGTCCGTATCTGCCTGTTTTTGATGTCTTCCATTCCCCCACAGAAGTCGTAAACTACGCGTTCGAAGGGCTCGTACAAAAGGCTGCGGAAAGGGAGCAGTGGCGTTAGGGTGATTTAGCAGGCCACGTAACAGAGGCGGGAAGCTAATTGAAGAGGCGACTCCGCTATTCCGCAAGCGGGAACAGTCAGCAGAGAAGGTTGTTTGCCTGTGTTCTAAAGACCACTTCTTAGGGTTTTAGGGTTACATTACAATGATTCCTTGACAGGCTGCAGGGGATTTCATGCTCCGCTAAGGCTGCCAAACTGACCTAAATGCTTGCTTTGCTGCTCAACGTCTCTGCAATTCAGAGCTCAAACGAGCTCTGTAACCGATGTCTACCGTTGCGGTCCAAAATTCTCGGCAGAAGCTTTTGACTTCAAGAATCCGTCGAGGCTTGTGGTTTCTTTTCCCGGTCAATCCCTGCTAAAGTAACTGACTCGATTCCGCTGCCTGGACCGCACTGCAATCGGATCAAATGCGCGGATTGATGTTAACACAAGGTAAGAACGCTTGAAGTCCTAGCCATACTTTCGATCCGGTCCGTCCAAACTAGACGAAGACTTACTGAATTTGCATTTTCCAAGCTTCGAGACCGACGCCCATTTTGGGTCTGACCTGTTGATTGTAATGTCCCGTTTCAGAGCCGACTCCAACAGGTGTTGCTTTCCCGGAGCCACTCTCGCCTTCAGGCGCTTGAGAATCCTCGCTCTGCTGGCCTTGGCGATCGCCCCCGGGGGATCCCCCTCTTGACACGTGTCGCCCTTGAAGGCGGCCGGCCGTGAAATGGTCGCGAAACTAGAGACCTAGAACGAAACAGGAAGTTGGAAAGCGAAAACATTTCCACGCGATCGGAATGCCGTGCGAATAAGATGGGAGAGTATTGTATCTGAGATGCTTTTCCGAGGACTTCGGGGACTCGCTTGAGGTATCTGCTATTATCAAGCTACGGCCGTCAAACATAAGGGTGGCTGTCGGAATAGCTCGGAGATTATATTACTTTCTCCGCAATCAGCTGGGAAAGTTCCCGGCAAAGCAGCTGTTACGTATCAAGACTACAGCTGTCGCAAGGCATACTTGCCACGCTAAACTCGACACATGACACCGCTTCATGCGTTGCAACCCAGACTTCCGAGACCACAGCTACCACGCTGAGAACGACAGCTGTCATCATGCTTACCTCGACAGTTGTGTCACCATACGTCACTTGGGCGATGCGGAACCGTCTGCCAAAAACCATAGTCCCCGGAACCGCTCGCTTGATCTGCAGAAGGGACCGGCGCAATCAGGGCTTTAATCTCCTCTTACTTTTCCGTGTCTTATGATACTTTCTTTTCTTCAAAAGTTCCTCTTCTTTCTTCTTTTCATGTCCGCTTGCTACTCCAATCTCGTTCAACCGCCGTTTTTGCGAAACGACGAAGGCTTCGCACTCTGTCCCTTTGACAAACTACAGTTCTGCATCGCTTCGGCTGAGAGGTGTCCGCTTCTGACCTTACTCGGCTCTGTCAAATGGAAGCGCATGCTAGCTTGGGTTTCCCGCCGCATCTTCGTGCCATTACAGTGTTTCGAGAATCTTCATGGAAGCGCTTCTCTTGAAAAACTCGGTAGGGCGGTCATAAACTGCTGCAGAAAGGCCGGCAATCCTTGGTTGTTTCCCGAGGGGGGTGAAGGAGAATCGGTAGTATGGGACCGGAGCCGGGGATGCTGTTGAAAGGGCTGACGTGGCGGTTTTACAGTTTTGACCCGGGTCTTCACAACCAGTGATTGGTGGAAAAGAAGCCTAACCCAGGGTTCGCATGGACCGAAAAGCTGCAGAAAGATTTTCAGACTTTTGAGACAATCAAATAGTCCGGTAGATCCACGTGCTCAGAAAGGTACATACCGAATCAGTGTTTCGGCCTGAAAAGTATTGTACCTCCTCCTTGGCGGTCCTACGGAGGCAACACTGGAGGCCAAGTAGATTTTGGGTCGACGCGTACCCTATTCACGACCCCGCTCTCTCAATTACAAAGGCTGAAAGACCCGACTAGAACGTTCACCTGATTGGGTAACGCACTCGAGACGATGTCTATGTCCTTTGGAGTACGGCCCAACAACAAGTCCCGAACCATCCCTCCCGCGAGGTACCCTTCGTGACCTGCGCATGATCACGCAACCGCTTAGTTTCCAAGTCGACCAGAACGGTGCGAGCTCGCCCGATTAACCAGCCCCCCTGTTCAGGTAACCCCGTTCTAGCAGGAAGCTGCATAGTAAGCGGACAGCTTAGTATGTTCAAGCCAGAATCTGCATAGATTTGCAATCAAGCTTCGTCAGAGTCTCCGCATGTCACGCGTAGAAATATGTTTTTTACAGCTTCTCCCGAACAACCTGCCACTTCAGTGTAGTTTAAATTAGACTTTCTTCGTGCAGCAGCACACTGACTGATTTGCACTAGATTTTGGACCAGAACTGGCAGGTTGCTCGGAAAAGCTGCACCGTGAAGGATTTCCAATCCAACTGCCTTCGTTTTTTCGGAACCCTCTGCGAGGGAAGTTTTTGATCAGTTCTGGAAACCATAGGCCCTGTTCACGGCTCGACGTTTCTGATCAGCTTACACTCCAAGCGGTCAATCTATTATTGAAAGGTATACTTTCGGGTGCTAACGCGATATGATTGGTCAGCTGCTGCCGGCATGCAAATAAGAATAAAAGCAACCAATGAACTAGGCCAGCTCTCGCAAAGAAGGCCGTGATCGTATGCACTAGTACACAACACATCCAAGAAACGTTCAGGCAACTCCGAGCCAGAATGTACACATACAGCTTCTCTCCCAAGAACCACTAGATCGCAAAAACACATTTTAGCTTTCTCCCAAAGTCTCCGAAGCACAAACCGCAGAAAAAAACGCCGCAAAAGCGCTGCAAAGCTTCTAAGCAACTCCAAGCCAGAACGTACACATTCGGCTTCTCTCCCTAATAACACTAGATCGCGGATTTATCTTACCTTTCTCCCAAAGTCTCCGGAGCACAAACCAGGCCGCCTCCGGAATCTGCTCGTTTCGCAACCCGTGCTCCTCGGAACCCACAACATACCGCCCCCTATCAGACCGCCCGCTTCCTTCCCCCCCCCTTCGTTTCCCCCCTCGGGGCACCCCCCTTTCGGACGAACACGCTTCCCCCTTAGCCAAACGCACATTCTCCTCGAACGAATATTTGCCCGCCTCTTGTAAAGGCGGCGGGCCGCCAGGCACATTGGACCCCACGTCAGAACTCCGGTTTAGAGACCCGTTAACCCGCTCGTTTAAACCTGGCTCTAACCCCCTATCGGCCGCTGCTTTCAGGCCGCCCCTTCGCTCGCGCTGAACCCGCATGAGGCGCCGGAAGTAGTCCAACATAGCGCCTTTCGATGTCGCCATATCTGTATTTTCCAATTTGTTGGCACGTTCCTTGGAATTTGGTAACCGAGCCCCTCGTGCGTACACGGGACCCCCCCCGCCGTCACGCTGGTTAAGGTTAAGTAAACTGGGGTTGTTTTCCAGTGCCTTCTTGTAATGTTCGATCCACTTCGGGGGGATCTCTGCTTCCGCCACCTGTCGAGCTCCCGAAACCGGAATTGGCCCCTCAGACCCATACGGTCCTCCACCGGTCCACCCTGCGTGGCCATCATACGCAGTGTCAAAACCCACTCGCTGCGCCATCCCACGATCCCTAGACTCTACCTTCAGCCGCTGCGCTTCTCTGAGCTCTCGCTCTCGTCGCGGCTCTTGTCGTCTTTCCTTCGCTTCCGCAAACCCAGCATCTGTTGCCGGATTGACAGCTGGCGCGGGTGGCGCCATCGCAGACACGCCCCAGAAGCTGCTCAGCCAATTTCCCACACCGCTCGTTTCGGACGTACGAAAGAGCCGTGCCTGTCCAAAGGCGTCGGCGTCATGTTGTGCGTATTCACCCCCCAAACTAACGGTGGTGCTTCTAGATCTGCCGGAAAGTGGGTTTGTGACTTCTGCGCTCCGATGGAGGGGTGGTGTGAATGGGGGCTGGGTGGAAAAGCCTGAAAGCTTCATGTGGTGGTGAGAAGAACTACCGGGGGAAAAGAAAGCTGGGTTTCTGAGAGCGCCCGTATCAGCAGCCCTAGTTGGAAGTCCCAGCTCACCCCACTGTCTCTGCTTTGAGTATTGCATCTGATCCTCAGCTGCGGGTCCCTCTGCTAGATTATGGTGCAGCACATCTGGTGCACTGGATTGTGACCCGCTCAAGCTTAGAGAGGCAAAAGAAGGCTGGGCGATTGCTTGCAGGATTGGTGGTCCTAGACTCCCGCAGGCCGGGCACTTGTGCAAACCACCATAAGCTATCGCCTGCAAGCTTGTCAGCTGCCCCAGCATGCGGCGATGCATTCTACTCTAATGTTCGTCCTCAGTCGCATCGCTCGTCGTTCCCGTCAAACGAGCTTGATCTAGAAGAGGAAGAAGTATTTCAAAGAGCTTTCGGGGTGCTCAAATGCAGGCTCTGATCTCCCGTGGTCCGCAAGTGGTGGTGTGCGTGTCTGGCAAATGTGGTGGGGCATCTGGTTGCAGCGCCTCCTCCGCGGCTCATGCACAAAGCCTTTGCTGCATCAGTACATGCGCCCTCTCTTTGTTTTCATGTTGCACACATCTTTCTGCGCTCGGCTAGCTCAGCTGGCTAAAGTGCAGTTCGATACAACTGCCACGTGCCTTCCACTTGTGGTTGGCCCGAAGGTCCGCGGGTCAAATCCCGTAGTTTGCAACTTTCTCTGGACGGAGGGGTTGGCTTGCCTCCTTTCGGAATTTTCTGTGGATCTGGCTAAAGGTCCTTCGAGTATGCCTGGCTGCGGAGAAAATCTTCGCTAGCCGGCGCAGAAAGATAACTCACCACTTGAATAGGGTGTATAAGGCTTTTTACTGCTACATCATACACGACGTGGGGCTTGTGAGTGGAACCGCGCTGTCAAGGAGCTGGTAACTAGGTTGAAAAGGTTGAATAGGCTCAACCCTTGGTAACGGTGCGACTGGCACTAAATTCTGCTTGGGGCGTTGTGTACCATACACAAGTTTGCAAGTTTTGATGGTTCAAGACTTGAACTTTGAAGGGCCTCATTCAACTTCCTCATTGCAGTCATTCTCAATCTTCAGAATCAAAGCAAGCAAAAGGCTGGACTTGAAGTCGAAGAGAGAAGTGGGCGTGTTTTCAAGGTGAAAGCGCCAGCATTGAAGAGAGGGAACTGCGAAGCCGCATGGCGGCGGGATTACACCTCTGACGTAGGTCGAAGGAGGCTTGACACTCTTCCTTTTCAATCAGAACTGCGGAGGGGGTGGTCAAAATTCTGTTCAGATAGCTTCCACATTTATCGAATTTTTGGAGCACAATGAGCGGGGCTCATCGCTTACTGTCCCGCTCCGCAGGCCCCGTTGCTTGGGGGCGTTTTGGTAATGGTCGCCCACAAAGTTTTCCCAACAATAGTTCGTTCAGCCTTCGAGCACCCCCCTCGTTGGCAGCTGTGCGCAGGCAAACCCCTCGTGCATGGTCAAGTTCCAGAAATTTCTTCCGGTCACGAAGTTCGAAACCAAGTAGTGTGCTTCCTGGGCTGGCAATTGGCGTGTCAGCTGCTTATGGCGGATCTGGAGCATCAACTCCCACCACTGCGCATCGAGACAGCATCGCCCCCTCTGCGAACCCTGACAGCTTTCGCGCTGATGCCGACCCGATAGTGTTCTCTTCACACAATTGCGCACCGGTCGAGCCCATTCTGTCAGAAACAGGGCCTCTTGGGGCACTCGAAGACTGGCTGGCTGCAATGCTGCAAAGGGCGGGCCCTGTTCTGGCGGCCGTCTGCTTGGCCGTCGTGTGGGCGCTAGCAAAGCCGGCCCCTGCATCTGCGAGAAGTCAGCTGGCAAGGCCTCTCGCAGTCAGCTCCAGTCAGCGATCTATCGGTGGTGTCAATCAGGAGCAAGGCGCACTGGGTGGCGCCACTTCACATCGAAATCAGGGTCCTCGCAGTGCAGCAGCTAGCTCGGGGTATGTCAGCAAAGCATCGAATCTGGAGTCCAATAATCTCAGCCAATCTGCAAGCATCCCCCAAAAGCTTGCTTCACTCAGCGCAGCTGCGCCCCCCAACAGCCCCCCCTCAGACGTTCCCCCTTCCAGACAAGATCGATCCCGCTTCACAAACGAGGTTGGAGATAGTCAGCCAAGCACGTCAGGCGCCCATGAACCCTCCCTTCCCCACTCTTTTCACGCCGCGCCAAGTTTCCGCCGCACAAACCCGAACCCGCTGGAGAACTTCCTGCGCAACACCGGGCCTCCAGGGGGTGCGAGTAGCTCCAATCCGTTGGGGGGGGGTAGCGGCCCAGCCAAACCAGGGGGGGGGACGG